CAAAACAAAAAAAAATTAAAATTCAAAATTTTTGTCAAAACATTTTTTTTTTTAATTTTTGGGAATTCCGATTTTTCGATTTTCATTGTAAAACTTGTAGAAAAGTGTCGTTTTTTGCGTAGTTGTTTCATTGAGACATACAATATGAGCTTAAATACGACGGGGCTCCGCTCACTTTGAGTTCCCCTCGGATACGCGACGCACGACCGCGACGCGCTGTAAAAACCAAAGTGGGCGGAGCCTAGTCGTGTTGGGGCTCATTTTGAAGCTTACAGTGTGTTCAATACGGTTTGGGAGCTCAAATTACATTTCATCAAGTCATAAACTCAAAAAAAGGTAAAATGAAAAAAATTTTGACCCAAAATATTTGTAATCGATTTTTTCCAACTTTTCACACTTTAAAATAAACGGAACCTAGTCATGTTTAGGCTCATTTTGTAGCTCTAAACCTCCTAAATCCTTATTTTTAAAGCAAAAATTAAAATTTTCAGTCTCGACTTCACCACCGGCCCAACACCAATGATCTACTTTGCTCGCAAGGACAACGACTTCTTTTGGGGCAAAATTCGACAACTGTTTTTCCAACTCTTCCGACCCGAAAGCATTCAATATTTGCATTTTTCGATGGATACGCTGCCCAGAATCCCAAAAAATCACACTAATTTCAATCGAATCGAAATTTGGGAATCAAAGAGTGGGCAGTGCCTGAAAGCTGCGGATTTTGAGCGATTTTTTGAGAAAAAACACGACAAAAACTGCTTGAATCGAATTCAAACAGTATATATCAAATCATATGTCGATGGCGAATTCGCAGAAAATTCTGGAATTTTCGATATCATAGAGCTTATCATCGCCAGATCGCAAAGTTTGAAAATGTCTCAAATTTTAAACTTTTCCGGGAGATTTGCAATTTTCATGTCCTCCAAACTTGATGGTTTTGAATTTTTGGAAATTTGCCAAAAATGGCAAAAAGGAGGATTCCCGAATTTGGAGGCTTTATCGATTATGGGCTCCAGTTACGTGTCTTTGGATGCGCTGTTGTATTTGAAGACTGGAGTTTGGGAAAATCGACCAAAATGTTATAAGCCAAGATCCGCGTAAGTTTGAATTATTGAAATTTGAATTTGCCATGTTGAGAGCTTCAAAATGAGCCCAAACATGACTAGGCTCCGCACATTTTGAAATTTTCCCGAACACACGCGACGCATGACCGCGACGCGCCTGGAAAACAAAAGTGGGAGGAGCCTAGTCGTGTTCGGGCTCGTTTTGTAGGTCTCAATGTAACGAATACGTTGAAAACACTTGCGTTATGAAGGTTTAACATTGAAAACCTGGTTTTTAAAAAATTTCAAAAAAAAAAAGTTTGCCAAAAATATTGATTTTCACTTTTTCAAATTTTTGCTCGAAATCTATGAAATCTTAGTCTCCGATTCATTTTTGACACGTTTTGAGCTTCAAAATGAGCTCAAACACGACTAGGCTCCGCTCACTTTGAATTTTTTCCATAGACACGCGACGCACGACCGCAACGCACCGCACCGCAAAAATTGAAGTGGGCGGAGCCTAGTCGAGCTTGAGCTCATTTTGAAGCTCAAAACGTGTTTAGTGCAAAATGAGTAGCAAAAATCTGAAAATCCTGAAAATTTTCAAAAGAAACGACTTTTTGAAGAATTCGAAAATTTGAAAAAAGTCCAAAATCGATTTTTCGCATTTAATTTGTTTCAAATCTTTAAATCTTCTTATTACACTGAATTCAGCTTGTCTTGAGCTTCAAAATGAGCTCAAACACGACTAGGCTCCGCCCACTTCGAATTTTTCCCAGAGACACGCGACGCACGACCGCGACGCACCCCGAAAAAATTGAAATGGGCGGAGCCTAGTCGTGTTTACGCTCATTTTAAAGCTCTCGGCGTGGCAAATACAAAAATTGCAGTCTCATCGTTTAATTCCAAAATTTTCAGATACTTTTTCCTCGATAAAAACAATTACGACGTCTCGAACGCTGTGGATTTGTACTGCGAATCGACTGGTCTCTGGGCCAGTGTCATTTTCACCGATAAACAGTTTCATCTTTTTGTTTGGAAGGGATAGATTATTCGGGATACTAAACAATGTCACTAAATTTCCTTTTCCCTTTTTTCTTGTTTTTTTTTTGTCGATTTTCCACATTTTTCCCTTTTTGTCTTTTCCATCAATTAAGATCTAAATATCTTGAAGTCTTACTACTCTAGACAGATTGCTCAGATTTCCAGCTTTAAAATGAGCCCAAACACGACTAGGCTCCGCCCACTTTGAAATTCCCCCCTCTTGCCCGCGACGCACGACCGCGACGCGCCTGAAAAATGTCAAAGTGGGCGGAGCATAGTCGTGTTTGGGCTCATTTTGAAGCTCAAAACCTGCTAAAAACAAATATAATATTATTATTCAAAAATAATCAAGTTTTGACCATTAAAATGATATAAAACCCTCAAAAAAGCAAAACATTTTCTGTCTGTCAGTGTTACCTCATGTCCAGATGTCCTCCATTTTAAAAACATTCCAAATGTAACGAATTGCGTAATAAAGCTGTTTTATCTATGTTTTTTTTTTTGACATTTATCTAATTATGTCATAATAAAAGGGCGCTAAAAAGAAGAGATTGGATCGGATAGGGATAAAAAACGAAAAACAGAGAAAACTGGTATTTATTCCATAAGAAAACAACGATATTATGATTTTACACTTTTTCTAAGCACTAAAAGGATATCTAGATTTGACGGGGAGATAACTAGACTTGAAAAAAGAGAATTTCGAAAATTCGAGAATATTTGAAAATCTGAAGTTTCAGTTTGCGGGTTCAAAATACTTAAGAACTAATGTTTTTACTGTATTTAGGCCGTTGAAACCTTCAAAATGAGCCCAAATACGACTAGGCTCCGCCCACTTTGATTTTTCAGACGCGTTGCGGTCGTGCGTCGCGTGCCTATGTGAAATTTCAAAGTGGGCGGAGCCTAGTCGTGTTTGGGTTCATTGTGAAGATCTCAATGCCCAAAATACAGTGTTTTAAGTTGTTTTTGATGGTTCTTGAATGAAAAACGGAACAATTGAATTTTCGAAATTTTCAACAAAAAGATAAATTTTCAGTTTTTGACTTGAACAATCTCAAATTTAACGTTATAATCGTTTTTCACATGTCCTGAGCTTCAAAATAAGCCCAATCACGACTAGGCTCCGCTCACTTTTATTTTTTCGGGAGCGTCGCGGTCGTGCGTCGCGTGCGCTATGTGAAATTTCAAAGTGGGCGGAGCCTAGTCGTGTTTGGGCTCATTGTGAAGCTTGGAACAAGATAAGGACAGAAAAAGTAACAAAGACTTGTGAAATTTCGGAGAAATCGAGAAAAAACGATTTTTCAAAAATATCAAGAAATTTCCAAAATTGAATTTCTGACTTTTCTCAATGAATTTTGCTCAAATCCTCCAAATTTTGATTTTATTGCCTTCATCTCGTTATGAGCTTCTGAATGAGCCTAAACACGACTATGCTCCGCTCACTTTGCTTTTTCGGGATCGTCGCGGTCGTGCGTCGCGTGCGCTATGTGAAATTTCAAAGTGGGCGGAGCCCAGTCGTGTTTGGGCTCGTTCTGAAGCTCAGCGCAAGCTAAGCATTACAAAAATCGCAAAAACCTAAAAAATTGTACATAAATCTAGAAAACCCGATTTTTCGAAAAGTTCAAAATTTTCACAAATACGAATTTTCGATTTTCCCCTTCAATCTGTCTTCAAATCTTCTGAACTTTGATTTTATCTGCTTCAGCATCTTTTCCGCTTCAAAATGAGCCCAAACACGACTAGGCTCCAACCATTTTGATTTTTACGGCGCGTCGCGGTCGTGCGTCGCGTGCGCTATGTGAAATTTCAAAGTGGGCGGAGTCTAGTCGTGATTAGGCTCATTTTGAAAGTCTCAATGTGACAAATACACTGAAATAAATTGTTTCTAATGGGTTGTGACAGAAAATCTTTAAAATTTCAAAATTCAAATTTTCCGGAAAAAAAAAATTTTTTGTCATTTTTTTTCAAATTCGAATGTTTTTCAAATTCTGTTAATTTTTCCCCAAAAACCGCTTCTCTCCCGTTCTTCTTCATGGTACTCCAAAATATGTGTTTCGATTAATTAACCAATTAAATCCAGATTCCTCTTTTTCTTAATTACATATGCTTATATGATGTGTCCATATAGAACAACAATCTCATCTGAAGACACTCAACGTCTTCTTTTTCCATCCAAAAAGGGTGCTAATTGCTTTTCGCCGTCCCCTCTTCAGACTTCTATTCGACTAGTTTTTCTCTGCGTCTCTCTCTCTCTCTCAAAAAAGTGGGCGGAGCTTCCTGAGAACACCCTGCTGTAGATAAGATTTTCTATAAAAGCTGAGAATTTGCTATTTGGAAGAAGCCTCCTAGGTCCCCCCCCCCCCCCACTACAGTAACCATGGAGATTCAGGAAATCAAAAATCGGGTGAGTCATTTTTTTTTGCGATTTGTAGTTTTTGTAGTCTTTCAGTTATTTTTTAATGTTGCGAAAATTTGAATTTCAGCTTTTTGAGCTGAAAATTTTCGAAAAAATGGGGTTTTTTTTCAAAATTTTGCGAATTTTTGGATTTTGAGAGTTTTTACCGTACTCCTTACATTCTGAGTTTCAAAATGAGCCTAAACACGACTAGACTCCGCCCACTTTGACTTTTCCGGCGCGTCGCGGTCGTGCGTCGCGTGTCCTTGGGGAAATTTCAAAATGAGCGGAGCCTAGTCGTGCTTGGGCTCGTTTTAAAGCTGAAAACAAGTTGAGTACAAAAAAATCAAGGAGAACTATAAATATCCCACAGAACTCGGAAAAAAACTATGTTTCAAAAACAATTTTTCTGAAAATTACGAAAATCGAATTTGCTCATTCTTTTTGTTTCAAATCTTCCCAATATTGATTTTATTTTTTTTTGGCTTGTTCTGAGCTTTAAAATGAGCATAAACACGACTAGGCTCCGCCCACTTTGAAATTTCTTGCAAGCACGCGACGCCCGACCGCGGCGCGCCCGAAAAATCAAAGTGGCCGGATATTAGTCGTGTTTGGGCTCATTTTGAAGGTCTTTATGAGACAAGTACTGTGAAAATATTAATTTTCAGAATCTCGAAATTTAAATCTCGAAAATTTCAAAAAAAATATTCAAAAAAAATTTTTTTTCAAAATTATTTTAAACTGAAAATTTCAAATTTTCAGTCTCTTTTTAGATTTTTCTAGCTCCTTAGACAGTTTCCCTTCAAAAATCGATTATTTTTCAGATGAAAGCCTATCGATTCGTGGCCTACTCGGCTGTCGCGTTCTCAGTGGTGGCAGTGATCTCGGTAAGGCCTATTTCAGCCTAGTTTTCAGCCTAAACTTGAAAATATTATAAAATTTAATTTCAGCAAAATAAGAGCTTCAAAATAAGTATAAAAATGATCATTTTGAATAAATTTGAAATTTTGCGATTTTTGGAATTTTTGAAAAATTTAAATAAAAATAAAAATTTCGAAATATAGGCGACATATTTATACTCATTTTGATGCATTTTTTGAGACAAATTTAAATTTTGAGTTTGTTTTTCGAAAATTTTTTAAGCAAAAAAAATTCCAGGTCTGTGTCACCCTGCCAATGGTCCATAACTACGTGCATCATGTCAAGAGAACTATGCAGAATGAGATTGTCTATTGCAGAGTAAGTTGGATGAAAATAGGATTTTTGAACTCGGGAAGTCAAGAGCTTCAAAATGAGCCCAAACGCGACTGAATTAGGTAAATTTTGAGCTTCGAGACCCCTAAAAGTGGGCGGAGCCTAATGAGTCAAACTTGTTTGGACTGGAAGTTGATCAATTTTGATGCTAGAATAGTGAGATTAATATTTTTGTATTTGCCAAGTCAAGAGCTTTAAAATGAGCCTAAACACGACTAACCTCCGCCCACTTCGATGTTTCCGACGCGTCGCGGTCGTGCGTCGCGTGCGTAAGGGAAACATTCAAAGTGGGCGGAGCCTAGTCGTGTTTGCGCTCATTTCAAAGCTCAGAACAAGCTGAATACGGAAAAAGTTGAAAAAATCGCAACAAATCCTACTGTAGTCGAAAAAAGGGGATTTTCAAAATTTTCGGAAAACTCTGAAAAACTAAAAAATCTAAAAATTTTGTTATATTGTTTTCGGACCCCTTTTTTTAATTGCATTAGATTTGGCTTGTCTAGAGCTTCAAAATGAGCCTAAACACGACTAGGCTCCGCCCATTTTGAAATTCGCCTATAGACACGCGACGCACGACC